TGAGCCTACGTGGTTGCTTCTGGTGCTTCAGAATCCTACTTGATGAAGAATCATGCTTCGTAATTAGATTTGGACAAATAATATAATTAATAATCTAGTTTCAGACATTCCATAAATATTATTTAGCTAGATAAGGTATTTTAATATCACTTGTACTAATATAACCCTTTATTTATTTATTTTTTTTTTGTTTTTTGTATTTTTACATAGTGAGGCACTAAGTGACTAATATATCCCTGACTTTTGATTTGTTTCCTTCAATTAGCTATTGAATTATAAATGTATTTTAGAAGTTGATAACTTTTGTATTTCTTATCGGTTTTACATATATAATATATCAAATTAATCATTTTTTCATGATCTTCGATTTGACATCCATATTGTATATATAAAATAAATAAATTACATTTATCTTTATAATTGTTATCATCCGATTCGGTAAAACACCATTAAGAGATTCCAAACATCACATTAAGAGGAAGATGACCATTGAACCGACGTGATTTTAACACCACCCCGGTCCAGGCGATAAACCGGACCGAACTACCGAAGACCGAAGTGGTCAGCACCTACCGAGGTCTACAGCACCTACCGAGGTCTACCTAAACCGAGATCGCCACCTCCTTAAGCAGGTGACAAGGTGCCTACGCACAACCATCCCACTCCACAAGATCCGTCATCATTTATGTGGGACCCACTACTCCTAACCGCCCACAAAAAAGCTACTTTATTCAAAAAGTAGTACACAGATCCCAATGTATCTACCAAAAATTACTATAAATAGTGAACCCGTGACATTTGTACGGGGATCTCTCTCCGAACTGAAAAAACTTTATCATGCAACACGCAAAAGCCCATCACGGCTCTTCACTTCGGTTCACCTCGGACCGGGGCCATTATTGAGTTATTTCTACATGCTTTACGTCCAAATCATTCATAATTCTCATCCTAATCACGTGTTATATCGTTGTTACAAATCACATAACAACAGTTTGGCGCTAGAAGGAGGGCCTCATAAGTGATTTGAGGTTAATCTCCGCGTTTCCATGTGACGATTCACACCAGCCATATCCACCATGTCTCACTCAGATCCTCGTGGTCACACGTCACGAGACGGCCACAGTCGTAGCGCTGCGCAATCTGCCAGACGACAAGCCGTGGCCCCACCTGTGCCGGATTATGCTGTTCTGTTTCAAAATCCGGAGTTTGCGCGTGGTTTTGCAGCTCTAATGGCCCAAACGAT